GATTTCAATTCAAGGAGCTGGAGTTGTCAAAAGCAACCTAAACCCTAAACCCTAAAAGCCCTAAACCCTAAACCATAAGCCCTAAACCCTATAAACCCTATAAACCCTAAACCGCAGTCCGGTTTCTGTGAGACGGGCTTCGAGCTCGGGGCTTCCAGGCCCTTTCCTTCTTTGTCCTACCTCTAGTCTCCATTGTAGTTCCTGATTGGGGCTAGCTTGTTGGGATCCTTTAGTATAGAACTGGTTAGACCAAAAAAGGAACTACCATGGAGACTCTGGGTAGGGTTCTGCGATTTTACATTCCAAGGCCATCTTTCGGCTGCAGCTTCGTTCCGTTCTGGGTGGGACGGTTGATGATATTGAATCCTGCACTACCTTAGAAGGACCCTAAACTACGGGAATTATGGTATGTTCCTTAATTATTTTGGGTAATGCAGGATTTAGATCATCAGCCGTAGTGACGGAGTCTGTAAACAAGAGTTGCCAAGTAACCGTGGCATCAACTCGATGTAAGAAGTAAAAAGGGTTCGAAGGCACCAAGGCACGTACAAAGACATGTGAGTCCACACCGGATGGAAGACTGGCTACTGGTTGTCGTGCCAAACCTATGGAATGAGAACAAATCCTCTATGAGACTGTGTGCCAAATTGACACCTGTTCCTCAACAGCCATGAGGTAGATCTTTGACAGGCTCCTCCGTATGCATTGGTCCAATCGACAAAGGTTTTAGTCTAGCGTATTTAGGGTTTTGGGTGTAGGGGTTCCTCGCATTGCCGTCCCCTGGTCTCCCCTTCCCTGTAGCTGAGTCCTGGCATCTGCAAGCCAGTTCACCAGATGGTTGTAAGAGTCGCCTTGTGCTGTGGGCTTTGGATACGTGTGGAGTGCTTTTCGACTCATACGGAGAAGAAGCTTCCGTAACAAAGAAGCAAATTCGAGGGTGCCCCTGTCAAACCATTATAGGGCTGTGGATAATGTGTAGTATCATTGTCTGGGACTCCCTAGGCCACTAAACCCTAAACCGTCTAGGCTAAGTTGGGCTACAACGACAGAGTTCAAGAAACTGCTAAACATCATCTGGGAAAACCGGTGGCCACGTTCCCACAACTCTGCAACAACCTCGTGCACCAGGGTTCTAGCATGCTACAGGTCAGGCATCGTAAGCCGTGCCAGATCCCCAAAACTCTAAGCCCTCAACCCTCAACCCACCAAATCCGGATTCCTTGTTTTCTTTTCAAGATGCTCCGGCACGACAGAACGAAGGCAGCAGTGATTCGGGTCGGGCTGCATGTAGCATGGTGGCCATAATGGCACCAAGCATTTCTAAGTCATCAACACAGAGTCCAAAGTTACCAAACTCAATCAAAATGGTTAGGACAGTATAGGGACCGTAAAAATTGGAAAAGCGTCTTGGGGTATAATGTACTCTAGATACAGTCAGGAACCCTTGGGCAATAATGTTGGCAATTATTGAGCCTTCCCTGTGGGTGTTTTGGGTTTAGGGTCTGCGGGCGAAGTTAACCCTAAACCCTAAACCCTAAATCCGAGTTCAAAACTCAAGCCTCTGCATCTGAAAGTGTTCGGCAATCCTGCCGCAGATGCAGCAAGGCACAGGACAACGGAAGAAGCCGGCATCTTGAGAACATGCGCAAACCCCGAATCTGTCCCTAGGATCCTTCTTACTGTGTTCGGAATACTTGTTTGCTAAGGATTAAGGATAGCCACAGGGTATCCCCGAAAATGCTATACCAATTGGTCATAGAGCTGGCCTTCCCTTCCAAACTCACTTGGACGCCTTGGGGCTTCTAGCAACAAAGCATCCTGAACCCCAAAGGGCTCGGCGGTTGGTGATGTCGTAGACAATCAGCGCCCCAGCGGCCTCGGCCAGAGGGAATTGGAGACCCACCTAATCCCCAAACCCCAAACCCTAAACCCCTAAACCCTAAACCCTAAATCCTAAACCCTAAACCCTAAACCCTAATCCCTAAACCCCAAACCCGAAAACCTAAGCCGACCTCGCCCCTGCAGTCTCACCAAACCCCGAAGCTCACAGATTGGGGCTTTAGGTTGGGGCTTATCACAAAATATGATCTTAGAACGTAGCTAATATCATAGGCTATAGTTCTGGGATGACAAAGGAGTGCGGGGTTTGGGATTTTGCAAGAGTTGACTGGAGAACGCGCGCCGGCTGTGAAGTTGAGGGATTACTTGCCCTTGCCTCAGACTCCGCGCCGGCGATAAGATCCCAGCAATGAGCACATGCAACACCACACCCTCAGCCCTAACTCCGAAGCTAAACCCTAAACCCTAACTCCGAAACCTCAAAAATGCCATGTTTGAGCTGCCAGCTCCACGGTAGTAGCTCCGGGTCACGGATCTGTAGCGATCCTGCAGAGCTTGCTGGATTTCGGCTTCCAAAGGTTCAGGGATGTGGAGCCCTGCAAGCCCTCGAGCCCGATAAACACTGAACCCCATAAAACCCCTATAAGCCCCATAGGCCCTAGAAGCCCTAAGCCGTTTAGGATTTTGCCTCCGTCTTCGCTGATGCGGTTTAAGCTGTCAAGGTTGGGCTTTGCGCATCACCACGTAGTCTTCGTCAGTCACCCCGGCACATTAGGGAACACTGCAGTTAGGGCCTTGAAACCTGCGCTATCTCAGGAGGACAGTATGGAGTCTTCCCAACCACCTAGGACCGAATGAGGGGCCGCAATAATTAGAATAGGTGTCGGGGATATGCTATACGATAATTATAATAAGGAGGAGCCCCCCAAACCCTATTCTAAATATTAAGGCCCCTACACTAGACTCCTAAGCTTGACAGGAAGTGTAGTGGCGTTTTGGTGGGGGTACTTTCGGGTTCTGGCTCTCTGTTGCTTCTCCCACAATGGCTGTTTTTCCAGGTAGATGCGGGCAGGTAATTTAGGAGCCCCGATGATTACCTAATGCTGCGCCTCAAGGTTCCCAGCATAACTACTGTATATAATACCCTGAGGGTCCATGTACCCAAATAGATATACTTTGGCCTGAAAGTAATCCCTATTTGGGTACTTTGGGGCCAAAGTACATACGATTTGGGTACATGGACCCTTAGGGATAGATATCCCCCTCCCCCCAAAAAAAACCAGTATTGATTGAGACTGAAACTCGCCACTCCCGGCTCACATCGCAGAAGCACCCATCTGTAAATGTCACGAGCTGCGAAAGTCCGAAGGTGACCTCGGAGTAGCCCCAGGAGCCCTGACCATATGGGACTTTCCGAAAATTAGGGGGTACCTTATTTTGGGTCCTTAGAATAAGGATCCTACTATTTAGGGTACAATATTAGGGTCCCCTATTTTCGGAAACCCCCATCTCCCCGCCTGACCCGCAGTGTCCCAAATCTGGAGCTTGATGTTTCGACCTCGCCGAGAAGGCTTATCTGTGGTTTGTTCCATGGTGGCCTTCCCTCCTGAACAATGCGAAGCCTGATAGAACAGGATCCAGTGCTCCATATGGGGCTTCAGCAATTGGAGCAAGTCTTGGGGATACCATACTACAGGTGTATGGGGGCTACACGGGGATACGAGGAGCAAGACATCGATCCCCATATTAGTCTTTGCATGATCCCCGAATCTTAGCGGGCTGAGGCGCCGGCCTTCTATGTGGACATAAGGGTTTAGGGCTTTAGGTGCTGGTTTGGTTCACTGACTTGTCGCAGAATTGAATTCAAACAATCATCTTGCTATGATGACACCTACACCTATACTACACCGAACACCCCCCCAACGGATGCAGCTTTCCGTGCACTACATCTCAGAATCTTCTATGCTGGCTATGTCGGCGCCAACAGCATTGCAACACCTTTGATCCCGGTTGGCATGGCTTCGGTTGCCAGGCACACTGTCTGAACTCGTGTTTGCATCGTCATTGCTGAATTATACCCGAACAACCGAAGCCGCATGGGCAAAGGCGTAAATCGGCATCTCGCTCATGGCTCTACATATGGGTTTGTGCTTTGATGAAACAGCGCTGCGACAAGTAAAACTGCTTTGGACCCGCAAATCCCCAAAGCCCTGAAACTGTCTCCGGTTGTGCGGCGCACCTCCCACCGTGATGATCTTGGAGCCAAACCTGCAATTGCCCAACAATTGAGAAGAGCAGGATTAACAATGAGCGTTCATGCCGTTCTGTTCATGTCACCTGCGGGTGACTAGATCCACGTCAGTGACAGGTTCAGACCCATGCGGAGTAGTGCGTCCATCTTCTGAGCATGGTGGCCTAAATAAACTCAATTTCAACTATACCATTGCAGAATTCACGAGGATTGTAGAACCATTGCATTGGCGAAGATGGCAATGACAATGCCGATGAAGACAAGCACAAACAATTAGATAAGTATACACATGAAGAGGGCGATGTGAAACACGAAGACGAGGACGATGACGATGATGATGATGATGATGCTGATGATGGTTAGGAGGAGGAGGAAGATAAATGCCATTCAATGATGTTGGTGCTTGTGCTGGTGCTGGTTTGGGGCTTGTGATAGTGGTTGTGGTGGTGATGGCTGTGACGGTGGTGGTGTTGGTGATGGAAGTGGCGGTGGTGATGGTGGTGATGGCGGTGGTAGTGCCGGTGGCGGTGGCGACGGTGTTGGTGGTGATGATGGTGGTGGCGGCGATGTTGAGGATGATGGTTGTGATACAAAGGTTGCCGATGCTGATGAGGACAGTGATTGAGAAGATCATGATGATGGTGATGCTGGTGGTGGCTAGCGGCTAGTGCCGGAGTGGACTGCTAGGATCTGGCAAGGGCGATTTCGCAGGAGAGGACCGCTTGTAGATAAGCCCCTTGCGGAGGGCGTAGAACCCTGTCCGAAGAGCGACTACTTATGACTGATTAGCCAATTCCTTTGTTTAAGAAACAGTACTGGAAGTCTTCCCAGCAGCACCTTTTCTGCAGCAAAGAAAATACATGGGATGACCAGCGCAGCCATCCAAGCCCGTCAAGTGCGTCAACATGGTTCATGACTTGCGCTGCCAAAGCAATGACGCGACTTGTGCTACATATCGGTATGTCGCATGAGGACCTGGACTGCACTCTGTGTAGACTTCTGTGAACGACATCCCTCTGTGCATCAGCAATCGCATCACCAGAGACAGTTCCTTGCGTCCATGGCTGAGCAACTCTGTCTGCTGCAGCTCCTGAATCCATGCGCGCAGCTTGTCGAGAGAGCTGATGGAAATAACTTTAACAAAGTCATGCTGATGCGGCGGAGGCTCCCAGAGGTCTGTGACAGCTTGCAACGTGTCGCCGTTGAGCTCAAGCAGCGGAACAAAGCATGTGCCTTCTTGCCACTTGAAATTCTTCACGGCCCATTCCCGCACCACAGGGTTTTCCTCAGGACCCGGGACGCAGATAAGGGGAGAATCATCACAACATAGGAGTTCCCTCAATGCACGCAGTGTCGCCCAGTCATGTTCGACATTCCCCCGCCATTCTCGGCAGATGGCTCTTGCAAGGAGCGGCGGTAGATAACCCACAATGTTCGTTTGGACACTTGCGGGAATGCCCTTGCCCGAGTTGTGCCAAAGGCACACATCCGCTCGCATCTGCAGAAGGGCTCAGGCCGGACCTCGACCCATAGCAGTCTCTCTCTCGCCCTAAATCCGAAGGGCGTTTTGGCATGGATGATCGTCTAGTCGTCATTAAGGAGCCCAAAGGAATCATATCTATAAATTCGTCAGGCCGAAGGAATCGACCTTCATCTCCAGAAGTTCTGAATCCAAGGATTCTAAAGCCTGAGGACCTAAACCCGAAAATGTGGCCCCTAATAAGGAAGGCCTTCACAGTTCGACTAGGGTTCGACGATACTGGGAACCCTAAGGAACAATGTGGGTAATTGTCTAGGCTTCTGTAGTACACCCATGAAACATGCAACTGCCGTCTTTCTACCGACCGTCTCGAGCCTAAGACGCCAGCAACAAGTCATTCATCTTATCCCACGCCACGGCACCAAATCGTCCATCTTCCCTAAACCCTCAACCCTAAAACCCCCATAGAAACCCCTCAAAGGTACCCCCGATACCTGAACCCTAAACCCTAAACCCCTTTTAAAGGAACCCTAAAGCCCTGAAGGGAAACCTCCAGGAGGAACCCCACAACACCCCCGGGCTTGAGCTTCGAGGTTGCAGCGAGAGACAGTGGGAACTTCACTCCTAAAGCGCACCTTAGTCTTGAGAATCCCCTAAAAAACACCCTAACACACCAGAATAACCCGAAAATCCTAAGCCCTGAACCCTCAAACCCTGAAGCCCAAAGACCCTGAAACCACCCAAAAACCCCAAACCCCTACGCCGAGGCTGGCAGCTGCACCCAACTTTGGGGGCCGGGCTCCACGCCGATGGTGTGGGATGAACCCTTCTTGACTGAGCAGGGAGGGCGCGTGAGTGAGGGTTTTAGGGTTTTAGGGTTTAGGGTTGTTATTATTAGGGTTTAGGGTGTTAGGGTGTTAGGGTGTTAGGGTTTAGGGTTTTAGGGTTTAGGGTTTAGGGTGTTAGGGTTTTAGGGTTTTAGGGTTTAGGGTTTACGGTTTAGCGTTTTAGGGTTTAGGGTTTAGGGTTTTAGGGTTTAGGGCTTAGGGTTTAGTAGGGGTTAGGGTTTAGGGTTTAGGGTGTTTACCGGCCCTCCCTGGACCCCAAAGGTATGTAAATACTTGCCTTTTTTTATGGGTCTTGGGCCGTTATTGTACCTACTTCTTGGGGGGTTGAGGTAGGGTGCAGGGTTGAGGGAGTTCAGGGTTGTTGGGTCAGGGTCTGTGAAGGGAATGCAGGTAACATCCTGCCATGCACAGCTTTCAGGAGCCGCATGCCCAACAAGCTTTCGAGCGAGCATACACCCAACGACTCCAAGGCAAGTTTAGGATCTGTGGCCGTTAGTGGCTTGAAGATTCAAGTTGTAAGGCAAGGTGTGTGATGGTTGATGCACGTACTTTCGGGCTTCATTTTGTGGCCTAAGAGTTGGCTTGCGATCAAAATCCTCGACTGTCCCAAATTCTAGATCCTTCATGTAGTCCAGAAGGGCTATTCGAAAGTCCAGGTTATGCAAACCTCAGATGCTCTCTTGAAGCGTCTAGGTTGCAGCAACCCTGCTGTGGGGGGTCGGCAAAATTCATAACGCTATCACTCAGGATTCTTATTGTAGTTTCCATATCATAACAACCCCCCTCCCCAAATCGTGCTCTATTCATCAAGGTCCCTACCCGATACTCGAAGGCCCTGAGCCGTGTAAGGGTCTGGGATCCCGGCATTTATTGTCAATGAACTGGTGCAGAAGGCAGGACCTGGGGTTTTCGGAGGGGTGAGGGCCTTTTCCGGGTTCGGGATTTAAGGTTTATTTGGACCCCCACAAGTATGACTTTTATGCGTCTTGGGCCAGTGTTTTACAGGGTTTGGGGTTTCAGGCCCTATGTTCAGGGTTTTGTGTAGGGCCTTTGTAGGGTTCAGGATTGAGGGTCCAATGGTTTCTAACGATCCGCAGGCTGTTGACCTTTAAGCTTTTTTTGAGGACCTTTTTCCACAGCAGGTCTTGCAAAGAGCCGCAGGTGAGTTTAGGTGCTAAACTAAATGATTCGGGCTTCGGGTGCAGCGTTTAGGGTTTAGGAACGCTAACCACATGAACCTTAACCCTCAGCCTGAGGGTTTGACCACAGAAGTGTCTCAATGTGGTTTGCAAAGCTTTGACTGTTTTCTGTTGGAATTTTGTGGCATGGAGTCTTAGATCGAGAATCTGGAATCGGGGTGTGGATCCAGGAGTCCAGGGGTGAAAGGCGAATCGCAAAAAAACACCGTAGCGGTCTGCACCAGCACGAATCTTACCGGCCTCTCGTCAGCACTTCGCCACTACTTTCTCGCAAATGCTTGGGCGATTCTTGCTCTGTGCGCCTGCTAAACCCACCGGCAATGTCAAAGACTGTGAGACCTTGTACGCACGCTTCAAACGATCCTGCGCAGTACTGCTGTCACCGCCATACTGATCATTACCCCAGGTCACTACCGATCCGTCGCCAAGAATGGCAGCAAAAGCAACTTCAGAGGCTTGGATCTGCTGCACGTTCTCCAGCTGATGCTCCACTGCGCTACTGTCAGCGCCATCTTCAGCATCACCCCACGTCACGACCGATCCGTCGCCAAGAATGGCAGCGAAAGCGACGCAAGAGGCTTGGATCTGCCGCACATTCCTCAGCTGATCTTGCACAGCACTGCGGTCACCGCCATACCGATCATCACCCCAGGTCACTACGGATCCATCGCCAAGCACAGCAGCAAAAGCGCTCAAAGAGGCCTGCACCTGCTGCACATTCTTCAGCTGATCCTGCACTGCGCTACTGTCAGCGCCATCTTCAGCATCACCCCAGGTCACGACCGATCCGTCACCAAGAATGGCAGCAAAAGTGCCGCAAGAGGCTTGGATCTGCCGCACGTTCCTCAGCTGATTCTGCACAGCGCTGCTGTCGCCATCGAAGAGAGGATGACCCCAGGTCACTACCGATCCGTCGCCAAGCACGGCAGCAAAAGCGCTCACAGAGGCCTGAACCTGCTGCACATTCTTCAGCTGATCCTGCACTGCGCTACTGTCAGCGCCATCTTCAGCATCACCCCAGGTCACGACCGATCCGTCGCCAAGAATGGCAGCGAAAGCGCCGTAAGAGGCTTGGATCTGTCGCACGTTCCGCAGCTGATTCTGCACAGCGCTGCTGTCGCCACCGAAGCCAGCATGACCCCAGGTCACTACGGATCCATCGCCAAGCACGGCAGCAAAAGCGCTCAAAGAGGCCTGAACCTGCTCCAAATTCCTCAGCTGATCCTGCACTGCGCTACTGTCAGCGCCATCTTCAGCATCACCCCGGGTCACGACCGATCCGTCGACAAGAATGGCAGCGAAAGCGCCGTAAGAGACTTGGATCTGCCGCACGTTCCTCAGCTGATTCTGCACAGCGCTGCTGTCGCCACCGAAGCCAGCATGACCCCAGGTCACTACCGATCCGTCGCCAAGCACGGCAGCAAAAGCGCTCACAGAGGCCTGAACCTGCTGCACAGTCTTCAGCTGATCCTGCACTGCGCTACTGTCAGCGCCATCTTCAGCATCACCCCAGGTCACGACCGATCCGTCGCCAAGAATGGCAGCGAAAGCGCCGTAAGAGGCTTGGATCTGTCGCACGTTCCTCAGCTGATTCTGCACAGCGCTGCTGTCGCCACCGAAGAGAGGATGACCCCAGGTCACTACCGATCCGTCGCCAAGCACGGCAGCAAAAACGCTCACAGAGGCCTGAACCTGCTGCACATTCTTCAGCTGATCCTGCACTGCGCTACTGTCAGCGCCATCTTCAGCATCACCCCAAGTCACGACCGATCCGTCACCAAGAATGGCAGCGAAAGCGCCGTAAGAGGCTTGGATCTGCCGCACGTTCCCCAGCTGATTCTGCACAGCGCTGCTGTCGCCACCGAAGCCAGCATGACCCCAGGTCACTACCGATCCGTCGCCAAGCACCGCAGCAAAAGCGCTCACAGAGGCCTGAACCTGCTGCACATTCTTCAGCTGATCCTGCACGGCACTGCTGTCAGCACCATACAGAAAATTGCCCCACGTCGTGACGGTTCCATCCCCGAGAATGGCAGCAAAAGCACCTCGAGAGTCTTGAACTTGAACTCTGCTTATATGAAATGTCAACGAATCACCGTTCTGCAGCCTGGTGCGCTTGATCGGTGCGCATGCATCTAGAACAACTCCAGATGAGTCCACGAGCCGCCCTCTTCCAACTCCGAGTGTTCCAACTTGTTCATCCAGGTCGGCTTTTACGGTGGCTGTCTTGCCGCTGAGCAGCCCAACCGCCACAGTAATCGACATATTGCCGCGTCGAGTTTCAAAAGCGCTGATGATCTTCTTTAGACAGCTAAACATTGCTAAACCAATCCTGGCTGCAAAACCCCGCAAACCATCCGAAACACCAAACCCTGAAACCGAGACCCGGAATCTGTAGCTTCGTAGCCGGGACCTATCCGTCAACCATCTAAACATGTTGCATTCCGGACCTCAGTGCGTGTTGTTTTAACCTTAACTTGCAGCCAGATGAGTGCACAAGTCATCGGTGCTAACCTACTTCCTTATTCATGCTACACTTCACTCCGCGTCAGTTTTTTTATATGATTACTGAACATTATGTTCTTCCATTCTGTAGTCCTCACTTCACATAAAAGTGACACAGCCCTCTTCACACTGAGCCGTTCACACTGAGCAGTTCACACTGAGCAGTTCACACTGAGCAGTTCACACTGAGACCTCGTGTATCATATATCCGGTTGTTGTGTTTTTACTGCATCCACGCTGCTCACAAAAGTCGTGCTTCACACTGAGTTGTTTCACACCGAGATGGCTTACATTGAGCGAAATAGCCGTCCGGGTGATTTCCTAGTTGAACTGCGGGAGGTATCTTCGCGCGTGATCAGTCATTTTTCTCTCATATGTCTGTTGTGCGTATTGAAAGGCAAGTCAAAGTCAGGAGTTGTTCCGTCATAGACGTTGATGACGTTCCATGCCTTTTCCATGTTCGTAG